AAACTAGATCATATATTTAGAGGATTTTGAAAAGTAATGGAGCAATAGGTAAATTCAAGTTATTACTTTTCCCAGGAGGGAACTAATTTGATACTAACATTAAGTGGTTTCTTCAAAGACATAAAACTAGACAAGGCACAATCTGATCTAGAACTCATCTACTCATTCCTCTTCCAGTTTTCCCTAACATACACTACTCCACACCTATAACAATAATAGATAGATACTCAAATGGGATTTGGAAGGTTTAATATGGAACATTGATAAAAAATAAAGTGATTTCCATTCATTTCTCTGGGTATCTATTTCAATGGTACCATTAGTAACAGAATTTTTGTTCTGGTTGTGTAGTTGATAACAAAATATAAATAAAATGGATTTCTTAAGTATTGCACTATGTATATGAGTGTATACATACACACGTATATATATATGTGTGTGTATATATGTGTGTGTGTGTATATATATGTGTGTGTGTAAGACTCATGGGTATGATTACATTTCCCCAAATTTCAAATTCACTCAAACTTCATATACTTTGAGCTCCCACAAAGCTTCAGATTTGCGGTTACTCAAATTTTCATCAGGTACCCCATTCTTGGCAGCAAAAGTGATTATATGTCTCACTATCCCTTATTTTTACCTTCTGTTGAGTTTTGTTTCATCTTTCTGATGGTTCCTCCTATTGGTTTTAATTTTTACTTACAACTTCACTAATGTGAAAATATGTTCAATGGGAATGCAAATGTAAAGCCTATATCAGATTGTGTGCTGCCTTGGGGAGGGTTGGGGGGGAGGAAGGGGAATAAAAATTTTCAACTCAAAAGCATATGGAAGTGATTGTTGATGAATCAAAATAAATTAATAAATTTTTTAAAAAGTGATTATATGTCGATGGGTATATGAGTGAATCAGTCTCAGATATAGACTTAGGTTCCTTGAAATACAAAGTTTAGAAAACCATATGGAGAAACAACAACAAAATTGGGAAAAGGCTACATCAAATAGTGAAAATAATTGTTTTGATATAAGAACAACTTCCTCCTATATGAAGAAATGGACTAGAACATTCTTTGGCTGAAAAAGAACAAGAAAATAACTTCATCATGAGCTAGTCCTCTCTAAAATGGGCTTTCCAAGGGAAGTTGCAGCCAAGTTTAAAAGTAATGAGGATAAAGTAAAGAAATGCCACAATCCTCCTAAAATAATGGGATTTGGCATAAAAAATATCTGTCATATATCAGTTTTAGCAGGAAAGAATATAGAACCACTTAAAATTTATAATCACTAAGGAGGAAGATGCTAATCTATTTAGAATCACCAATAAGATGTTATGAAATGAAAATATTTTCATGAAGTGCATTTTTAGTGAGAATTAGTGCTTCTTATCTTTTACCCAGTCTTTTACTCTCCTCCATGCACTCTATGGTCCAGCCATACTGGAATTCTCCCCTTTCCATGCCTTTGGGTTTGCTGTCCTCCATGTCTTGAATGCTTTACTTCTTTGCTTCTTCTAACTCTGGCTTTCTTCATGATTCAGCTCAAAAGTTAGGAGCAGGAGGACTTCCCAAGTCCCCACTCCTTCTACTCCAGTTGCTAATGACTTCCCCTTCAAGGTTACCTTTTATCTATTTTGTGTGTACTTTGAATATAACTATATATATACATATATATATATAGTTGTGTATATGTATATACATATATATATATAGTTGTGTATATACATATACACAACTATATATATATATATACATATACATATATATATATATATATTTACGTCTCTCTCATTTGAATGTAAATGTCTTGAAGATAGAGTCTATTTTTGCTTTTATCTGTAGGCATCTCAGCACTGACTCATACTGAATGCTTAATAAAGGCTAGCTAGGCAGCTAGGTGGCTCAGTGTGCTGATCCTAGAGTCAGGAAGAGCTGAGTTCAAATTAATCCTCATGTATTTGCTAGCTATGTGACCCTGGGCAAGTCACTTGATCCCTGTTTGCCTTAATGGAGAAAGAAATGACAAACCACTCTAGCATCTTTGGCATGAAAATCCACTAAACCCTTCGGATGTGTTGTTTCTCCATGGGGGTCACAAAGAGTCAGACAATTGAACAACAAATAAATGTTAGGGACAGCTAGGTGGCACAGTGGATAGGACTTCAGCCTTGGAGTCAGGAGGACCTGAGCTCAAATTTGGCTCATATACTTGATGCGTACTATCTGTGTGACCCTGGGCAAGTCACTTAACCTCGATTGCCTCACCAAAAAAAAAAAAAAAAAGAAAGAAAAGAAAAAGAAAAAACAAAAAAAAATCAGTAATCAACTATCAGATAGATTGTTGGTTTGGTTTTCTTTTATATAAAATCTGGAGTCCAAGTTAGTCTGAAGTTCATTTGATTTGGATATACACAGTATATACTGACAAAAAAATCACCAAATAAAAGGGTAAGTCATAGAACTTTGTTACAGAAATGGATGAGTGACGAAACTGAGGCAAACAGGGTTAAATGACTTGTTCAAGGTCACACAGCTACTAAGTGTCTGAGGCCAGATTTGAACTAAGGTCTTCCTGACTCCAGGCTTGGCACTCTTTCCACTGAGCCACCTAGCTGCTGTATAGCCAAATTTTATAGACTATCTAATCAATCAGTCAATGAACCTTTAAGTACCTACTAGGTGCTGGGCACTGAGCTAAGCACTGCTAAAATGAAAAGTGGTATAGTGGAAATTAATTTTGAAATGAGGAAGTCCGGAGCTTACCTCTGACACATGCTAGCTGTGGGGACCTGAGGAAGTCACTTCTCCTCTTTGCATGCTATTAACTGCAAGATTAGACGTTGCTGACCCACATTAGCAGAAGAAATTTCCTCACCAGGGAGTTCCCTATATGAATGAACTCACAGGTTCAAAAACTATTCCTAGTTAAAATAGAACATACCTAAAAGCCTCCTGGGTTTAGAATGTAGCATCCACAATGCTGTTTTGGGAATGATCCTGCCATAGGAAATACAATACTGGTAATGTCATGATGTTTAAATATGTCCATTGAGAAATCCTGAGAAAACCTAGAGGAAAGAAACTAAGCAGCTTTGAAGGTACTGACAGATTTCATGAGCTCTAATCAATAATTAATGTTATTGAAATGTTACAGCTTCAAGACCTTGCTTTAAGTTTGACAAAAATGGGTAAAACTTGTTATAACGTGGCTCATTCTTGCAAGGTTTGGATAGAGTATACTGTGAGTCAAATGACCATATAACTGTTGGCACTACTCAATGCCTCAGTTTCCTCCCATGTAAAATAAGAACGTTGGACTCCATGGCCTTTAAGAACTCTTCCAGTCTGAGTCTCTGATCCTATGAACTATGTTTCTATGAGATCTTGTCCCCCCAAATAAAGCAATTCTCTCAGCAAATACTTTATATTGCAGAGTCATCCTGTAGGCATGGTAACCATATGTCATCAAATTTCCATGAAATCATTAATTTCAAGGGGAAAAACAGCACATTTCTGACAAGGCTTTGGAAAAGGAATGTCATTTGTCAGAGCATGTGTAGCGACATGTAGTTGAGAAGCTTTAGAAAATGGATGTTTTCTGTATGAATATGCATTTTGATATTTGGTTCAGAAGATATCACTAGCCCTAGTGTGTGGGAATTAATTTTATGTCTGGCAACAAGTTTATCTTTAAGGGAGTTGCACTACCCCACTGTGCCACCTAGCTACCCTGTCAGTACATTCCTCTCCACTAAAAATCATGGGAGTTTCCTGCTCTTGAAAAGATTGAGATTCACACAGGAGAGCTTTTGGTGTGGGAATTCCTCCCATTAATAGAAATCCCAAACATCTGTTACTTAATAGACATGTCAGAGTCATGATTTGAACCAAAGTCATCTTGACTCCAAGCCCAGTTCAACATCTATACATCTTCTAAGTCAGTGCTAATATTAATAACATTTTACATAGTCCATTCCAAAAAGGAGCAGAAACAGACAGTAGCTATGTTCTATCCAGCTAAAGATTGGTACCAGGTTGAGGTGGCAGAGGTGATTAAATGATGGTGATAGGAAAAAAATCAGCCAATAAACTTTTATTAAATGTCTACTATATGCCAGGCACTGTGTTAAGAGCTGAGAGTACAAAAAAAGGCCAAAATATAGTTCCTGCTGTCAAGAAGTTCACAGTCTAATGGGAGAGAGAACATACAAACAATTCTTTATAAACAAGCCATATACAGGATAAACTGGAAATAGTCAACAGAGAGGAATCACTAGAGTAGAATAGCTAGAGAGCAAAATACTAAGTCATGTTTACATACAGCTCTGTTTACATGTGTTTACCTTACAATCCTATGAGGTTGGTATTGCAAGCACCATGATCCTCATCGTACAAATGGGAAAACTAAGACACACAGGGGTTAAATGAGTTGCCCAACATCACAGAGCTAGTAAGCATCAGAGCTGGGACTTTAACCCAAGTATTCTGGCTGCAAGATTTTCCTGAGTAGCCTATAAGGGAAAGAGAGAAAGGCTCAAAAGAAAATGAGTGTTATAACAGGATACCCAATCTTGTAAAATTATCAGTTTTCCCCTTCCCTTATATTCTGATCTCACAATTAAAAAAAACAAAACAGTACCCTGCATTATTTTATTTTTATCAGTTAATTTTTTTATTTTTAATTTATAGAATAAAATAAGGATTTCCATAACATAATACAATAAAAAGATAATTACATACGAAACCACACATCTATTATATACAACTTGCTACTCTTTTTAAATATATAATAAAGCTATCATGTAAATTTCTTTATTTTCTTCCCTCCCCTCTTGCCCTAGAGATGACTACCATTAGACACAAATAGGAATAGCTATGTAAAACTATTCTATACATTTATCAGTTTTTTCTCTGCATGAGATAGCATTTTCATTTCATTTCATTTCATTGAATAAGGAATGTAGGAGTTGTTTTACACAATTTGCTAATAATAAAGGGTTGCACTCTTTATTTCCTTGTACCGTTTTGGCTTGCCTCTCTTACAGTCCTAATCAGATGCCAGACTATGGTGTACAAATGATTCTGGATTCTTGAAGATAATACCAAAGGTGCAAAAGTTTTGGCAGGTCCTACCAAGCTGGAGAGACTTTCTGTGCCAGGCTGATGGTGAATTATATGTTTTTTTGTCCAAGGACCAATCTGGATAAATTCAGAGAGACTCATCACGAGGTTGGCTGCAGGGTGATGGATTCTTCAGTCTCAATTCAGGAAGATGATCAGCATTTCTTGACATATGTAAATGTCTTATAATGAATGAAAAGATTCTGGGGTTTTTTTTTCTGTAAGAGGAACACAGCTAAAAATTTACGTTCCCATGTAAGTTTCCCTTATGCGAAATGATGATGATGACACATGACACTATGAAATCACTGACGAGTGGAGTACAACCTATTTAGACAATGTGTTTAGACACAATTAATGTGTCAATAGTTATCATAATGATAACTAACATTTCCATAGGACTTTAAGCTTTTTGCAAAGTACTTTATATACATAATCCCACTTCCTCACACTATATGGTGATGCAAGTAATACAAGCATCATCTCCATTTTACAGATAAGATTAGCAAAAGTTAATGGACTTGACCTCTTTCTGTGACAGTCACACTGTTGCTAAGAGTCCCAGTCAAGAACCCAGAACTTTACCTTCTAAGTCCTATATCTTTCCATTAAACCACGCTTCCTTTCCATTTATAAACACACTCAGAAGCCAGGCTTGGACAAGTAGAATAACTGTTGTTGTTTAGTCGTTCTCAGTTATATCTGACTGTTCATGACCCCAGTTGGAGTTTTCTTGGCAAAGATACTGGAGTGTTTGCCATTTCTTTCTCCAGCTCATTTTACAGATGAACAAGCTGAGACAAACAGGGTTAAGTGATTTGCTCAGGGTCACACAGTTAGTAAGTGTCTGAGGCCCGATTTGACTAAGGTTTTCCTAACTGCAGGACTGGTGCTCTATGCACTACACCACCTAGCTGCCCTTAGTTTAATAATAAGCAACATTTAAATAGTCTTCTCTTAGATTTCACTTAAATAGTTCAGTAACACTAACAGGGTATGTGGAAGTAAATTCTGCTCTAGTTGTCCTAGTTTATATAACAGTTAGCATTTCTATAGCTCTTTAAGGTTTGCAAAGTACTTTCTGTGTGTTATTTCATTCGATCCTTACAGTCACCCTGTGAGGTAAGTGCTATTATCATCCACATTTTACAGATGAGGAAACCAAAGCTGAGAGAGTTTGATGCCTTGCCCAGGATGACACAGCTAGGCAGTATCTAAGGCAGGATTCAAGGTTAGGTCTTCCTGATGCCAGCTCCAACACTCTGGCCACTATGCCACCTAGCCATCTCTTACATTTCTCTTCTTTTCTTGTTGATCCTCAGACCTGTACTGATCATCCAAACAGGACAATCTAATCTCCCCTCGTAAGTCACGGGAAACCAGCGTGCCACATTAGATAAGAGCTAGAAATTCTAAGCACAATGAAAGGTAGGTAACTCATAGGCATCTGAATGCAGAAACATGTGCAAAGAACACTTTAATGACACAACTTTTAAAGTTAATTCTGGCAAAGAGAGATCAAGAAGAAGCCCCTGTTGGCTATGGGATCTGACTGTTGTGTCTGTGTACATAAAACATTATTATACACATAAAGCCCGTCTGCTATACAATCTGAGAGTGTTTATTTAGGATAAATTCCTATGAATGGTATTCATGAGGCAGATCAGTGGAGCAGCCCTGGATTGGGAGCTAGCATGCCATTACTGACTCATTGTCTATTCATTTTAGATTGTTTCTATGGAGGATTTATAGAAACAATACCAAGGTGGCACTAAGGTGGCTATCAATGCTGTTTACAGACAATTTAGAGGAATAAACCTGCAGTTATGCCTAGGTTTGCTTTCCCTTGTGGTCTCAGAGCACCGTGTTCTAATCCTATTGTGACTTGATCGTTTCACAGTCAAGTGCTCCACAGAGGCCAGTAATTGGCATACAGGTTCAAATTAGATTGCTGTGTGTTTAGGAAAGCAGGGGTCATTTTGCATCAGCCCCTCTCATTAAGAAGCCATCTACTAAGTTCTCTATTACAGAAAATGGAATGTATACATTATTTCTTATTGTAAAAATAATACCCAGAGTATACATGCTTACTAAACATGCTCACAAACACTCGCATTTCTCAAATTGCCTTTCATCAATGCATAGTAAAATGCTAATAGAAACATGGGGGTGGGGAAGGATGTCTTAGAATGGCAGTTAAATATTTACCAGGATTGTACTACGGTACATTGGCATAAGCCGCTCCCAGGTAAAAATTGCACATGAGGCTAGGGATGAAGAGTACCAATATGAATCTTCATGTTTTCTTTGTTAAAGTACTTATTTCTTTAAAACCCAAAAATGTCTTCATGCTATAGCAGATATACAACTATGACACTGTTTAATATGTTCTACTTTATGTTTTCAGTGAAAGTAAAAGTGGTTTAGAAATTAAAGTAATTCACTGCACAAAATGCTGGCTCCCTTTCACCCTTTTTCCTCCCACCCTGAAAACCCTCAAAAACAATAACTAAGGGTCTCCCACACCCAAAAAAATTCTATAGACACATTTACTGAAGACTTATCTGCACAGGCACCATGCTGCCCTCTGGGTACTTACAATCCCTTGAAGAAAAACTTCAGAGGACAGAATGCCACAAAGATCTGTGTCATCTTGATCAATAGGGGTAACAATTTTTAGGTCCTTCTTTCCCCTTTTCTTGGGAACCATGGAGGAGATTAAAAAACAAACAAACAAACAAACATCAAAAGGATTAGGACTGAGAAATGCCATATGTGAAGGAGGGCGAATCAAAAGCAATAGAATGAAGGAAGAATAAAGAAAAAAATGAGGAACAGATTATGATTACAAAGGGAAAATGGAAAACAAAAGGGAGAGAATAAGTGAAGAAAGAGAAAGTGTATGAGAAGATTGTTTAAAAGCTGAGAGGAGAAGGATGGGAGAAATAAGAGGTGAGTGTGAGGAGGAAAAAAAGATGATGAACTATGAAAAAAATAACTATTACAAATGAGAAAGACTAGCCAGCTTTTGAATAGTACAATAGGAGTAAAGCAGGGGAGTGACCATAAGCTAATGCTCTGCTTCATTCATGGGAAACTAGGCTAGCCTCCAGGAATAGCCAGTGCTGCTTGTATCACATCATGAAGGATAGGTTCACAGAGGCATCTTCCGGTAATGTGAAAGGAGGTAGGAAAGGAAGATTTCCTACAACTTCCACGATCACAAGAATGGTCATCTCAAGGTTCACATTCCTTGTGCTTGCAAGGAAGTGCTTACAACACAATTAGAAATGCAGATTATTCTATGAACTTTGTAAGTTCTCAAAAGTAAACTAAAATATTTTACTACAAGTAAATTATTTCTCTCTAGGCTATTCATTTTCTTTTTCTTTGTTTTTTGAAATTGTTGTATTCTATGACTCACAGCCATATTGTTTCCTGGAGAAATCTGGGGTCATTAAAGGAACTTTGTAATATCCTGAAGGCAATCCAGACTGTCTATGCTCGTATTCCTATTTAATCCTGGGCCCAACTTTGGTCCATTTGTACTACCTAAACCAGATATACATACATACATGCTTACATACATACATATACATACACACATATGTGGATAGACAAGATCTAAAGATTATCAATCTAATTGCATGACATGGGAAATACATATTCTTCATTTACTTGTTTTTTTTCTGTATGGATGATCAGGTCAAACTCTTGAATTTGAAAATGAATATCACTTGTGGAAAGACAGACACATTGATGCATTGTTGGTGGAGCTCTGAATTAGCACAACTGCCCTGGGAAGTGATTTAAAATTATGCAACAACAACAACAAATCTAAAAGGTGCATGCCATTTGACCGGGGGATTCCACTACTAGGAGTATACCCAAGGAGGTAATTAATAAAAAGAAAGGCTCTCTATCACAATATTTATAGCAATACTTTTTACAGTTGCAAAAGACTGGAAATGAAGTAGATGCCTATCAAATTGGGAAATGGCTAAATAAATTATGGTACACGAATGTAATGAAATATTTCTGCGCTATAAGAAATGATAAATGTAAGTAAGGAAAAGAAATGAAAGACTCAAAAGAAATAACATAAAGAAAAGGAAGCAAAGTTAAGAAAACAATACAGACAATGACTACAACAATATAAATGAAAAGAATGACTACCACAAAGCAGACAATAATGAATGTTCCAAATTACAAAAAACAAAGAAGAAATATGAGAAAACACATTTCTACACTGCTTTGCAGAGGCTCACAGTTGTAGAACTTTGAATATATTATCAGAGTTTTAAAAACATACTGATTAGTTATGATGAATTTTTTTCTCTTCCTCTTTTCTTTTTCCTTGAAATAATACTTTGTTAAAACGGATGGCTGTCTGGGAGGGGAAGTAGTGGTGATATAGGAAAAAATATAAGTGATGTAAAAACAAAAGATATCAGTGAACTGTATTTTATAAAAGAAAATGATTATCATATGTAGGGTAATGGAGAGGCCCATTGTAGATGTGAACAGGCTTCAGTACATACAAATGAGGGATTTCAAAGACAAATAGAAGTAATAATGTCATCAAGGAAATGTGTGAAAGAAAAAGAAGATGGGCTGGTCATGTGACAAAAGCAGGGCATAACAGACAAATAATTCATGCACTTTACAGCTACCTGATAATGTCAGGAGAAAGCAAAGTGGTCTTCCCACATGGTAAATGGACTCCTTGTGGTAAATTTATGAGATAGTATGGACAAGAATCACATGTTTTGGAGGTGTAAGTAAAAGTTGCAAAGTGCATCACAGAAGGCAACATTCAAATTAATAAGATCAAAGGTCTGATTGAGAATTTGAGTAGCTTATCCTTCACGGATGCTAAGGACCTCACCTATGGGTCCAGCAAGGTCTAATCAGTATTACCATCATGCCCTCCTATAAATAACCCCCTATTTAAAATAAATCTGAAAAACTGTTTAGAACCCTAATGATATCTTTCCAAAAGCTCCAAGGAGCCCCTCACAGTTTCTTCTGGACTTCATGATGTTGAATGCACATTTTACGGTGTTGAAAACACATGCAAATCAATCCATGATCTCCTTCATATATTCTTTATGTGCCTATGAAGCACAGCCATCCAACTATAGTGGATCCTGAATGACTTCTCATGATGCTCAGGGTTAACTGAGTGTCCAAGAGGTTCAGATATATTATCTAACTCCACCTTCCAGATCGACAATGACAGGGCATGCGAATAAAGGGTACTCTTTTTTATATGCACACATTATAGCTATATTCACACTTGCTTTCTGGCAGCTCTAGGAATCAGAGATCACATTATCATCATTTCCACAGGAAGAAAACCAATGCATCACCAAGAGGCCTTCACTGACACATATGCATAAATTTAAAAAAAATTCCTCACAATACTCCCCATTGCCTCCTGAATATCTCATATCCCTAGGCTTCTAGATGGTCCTTAGTAAGGATGAAAGTTAGCAGACAAAAATGAGAAAAAATAAATTTTCAGCAACCAGATATTAATTTCAGTGGCTGCACCCAAGATATTTCAGGAATACTAGTTCTCCTGTGTCTTTTCATCTCTGAAATCAGCTAAATCTGTTATTCCATGCTGCCTTTCATGAAGGGGGACATGAAAGTAGAATAAGTAGTTGTGTGACCTTGGACAAGTCGCGTGGGCTTTGGTTTCTTCTGGGTCTTTAAAAGGAGGGGTTTAGATTTGATGAATCCTTTCTGTTATATAATTCTAAGACAGTGTACTGTGATGATACTTCTATCCTTTTTTTATATTCTGGGGTTTTATAAACGTATCCAAACGAATACTTCACCCACTCTGTCTGGCTTCATCCCCCGCTTTCTCCAAGGTGAGTCCTTGAAAGTAAAGGCTGTCATAGCTCCCTCTGAATCTCTTTTACAAGTAAAGAGAATGAACATTCTATGCCCGATTTGAAACCTTAGAACATCAGTGGTTTAAGTAGATCCCTTTCAGCACCAAAAAAAGCTTCTGTTAATGTCATGTATTTATTAGGCCAAGCAGTCCTTCATCTGATGATAAATGATAGGTCACTAAGAGTTCATTTCTAATAACAGAAATAACACATCAGTGTCACTGGGAAAACACATATGAAAAGATACCAGAGCCATCAATAATAATGCTTAGCCCTGATAATTATTATTAGCTTAGTAATCATCATTACCAACCCCTTTCTGCTGATTTAGTACAGATCACCTAATAACAGCTAGGGGTCAAAAGTACAAAGCAAATCCAGAGCATATAATGCAGTATCTAATGAGCTAAGAAATGCTCTGTAGGTTTTGTGTTAAATCTACAAAAATTAAGCCAATTGAGGGTGGGGTAGGGATGATGGCACTAAATACAACATTTTATTTTAAATCATAATCGTACCAAGTGTCAGTATGGAGACAAAGCGGGGGTGGGCCCAGGATTGTTTCCTCTCAATCAATTTCACGTTTTCATAAAGCAAAGCCAACATTTTACTTTGGATGCTCTTGCTTATAAACTCCTGCCTTCTCCGGAAGAAACTTTAAAAACACAATCTGCAGACTTTTGAGACATAAAGGGCTCCTTAGTAAATTAAGATAAAATAGGAATGCTCAACCTGGCTCCCTATTACAGATCTGTAGAAGAGTTCAATACTTCACTTAACTGTGCTGGGAACTATTCAGGCCACTGAGTCAAAAACTGCGGTATTATTATTCTTTGATGTCTACGGCTTAGTAGCACAAAGCTGGTCTCCAAGCACTTACTCTCTATAAAGAAACTCCAAATGTTTGGCCTTTGCTCTGCAAATATAGTGTCACCATTGATTTTTAACATATAAAGTGTATTTTCCTGAATGTCAAGTATTCTCAAAGTGCAGGGGTTCCCATGAGCACAAAGTAGAGGAATTAAAGATGGTTTAAAAGCTAGAGTAGCAAGCAAGCACAGAAGAAAGAGAAGGGAAGGAAAAGGGGAAAAAGGAAAATGAAAGAGAGGAATGAATATGAACAATATTCCAATACTGTGTTCTCCTTCATGCTTTAGACTGAAATGTTACCTGAAAATCTATTTCATTTTCTCTAAAGGGTTCTTAACTGTGATATAACCCATATACAGTTTCTTTAGATGTCCAACTATTATTTTCCAAGAAAAAAAAATTACATATATAACATACCAATTCCACATAATTATGTATATAAAACCAATATCTTACAAATCACTGGCTATATATTATATGTATATAAAAGAGAATCATATTTGCTTATATAGCTAGCCAACATAATTATATACAAATCATATTTTATATACAGCTAACAGTTCATTTTATATATAGTGTTAACCATATTTAAATATTAGTTTATATATAATGTATATACATATATTTTTCCTTAATAAAAGTGATAGTCAAAGCTCCCATTTATATGGAGTTTAAGGTTGACCAAGCACTTCCCCCAAGCTAAGTAATTATATTTGAAAAAGAACTGTTATTGAATAAAATTTTAAATCACAAATATTTTTCTGTTGATATTTTTAATGTAATTTATATAGAAAAAATTACAAATGATAGATTTGGGAAATCTTGGGAAATCTATTCCAAAGTGATATTTGTGGGTGAAAAATCTGCCAAATTTGTCTTTCATTTCTTATTTTATCAAAAGAAAGAAACTGTGGATTTAGAGCAATATAACTGGATATTAGGAACACAAATGAAGCCTTACTCTGCATATAATTAATTAAGTGAAATAATAATTAAATGAAAATGGCTTGTACCATTATCTTCACCTGATCCCTCTCCTCTTCATGTACACACACAAACACACACACACACACACACACACACACACACACACACATTCTGGTCTCTTGTGCCAAGTCAAAAATGTCTGTCAGGCTATACCTTCAAGTTCAGTCTGTGACCTCCTAGGTGCAAGCTGAGGCCTCCCAGGGGATACTGTGGAGTTGGTAAGGCTATATGCTCTTTCTCTCTATCAAATTAGAGTCTCTACAAATGGATAAAACTGAAGTAAGGGGAAAGTGCCCTCTATACGATGAAGATACCATTTACCAATTTCCATCATTCCACTATAAAAAAAAGAGTACAAGTGATAACACAGTTAAACAAAATGATAAAGTCCGAAGAATGACTTCACAGGCGAGGGGAATCTCATTACCTTATCGTCACTCCCACTCCTCTGCCTACAGATCTTCGTATGGCATTATACATAAATACGCAAGTGAGGAACATGCTTTAAGACACAGAGTTTGAATGTTGAGATTGATATCCTGAAGGAAGTTGTAAAAGTAGAAAAACATGTATTTTAGACCCTGAAGAAATAAATAAAAGAAGTCCTAATAAATATATCATCTATGAAATCAGGAAGGTTGGAACAAATGCTTCTGATTGTCCCCAATTTCCTGCTTCCCCCTCCCCCTGCCATTCCAATATCACATTTTGTAGCTGTTTTTCTACTACCAAATCATGCTAGGATGACCAGGAACTCCAGGAATTTCTAGATTAGATTTTCCTCTCTACTTTACTCAATGTTAAATCTCCATTATTCCCCTTTGCATAACTTTCCTTCTAATTCCTCCTTTCCTATAAAGCAGACATCTTTGAATGGATAAATGACACATTCTGATTCTGTAATTCAAAAGTTCCCATGGCCATTAGTCTATATCACGTACTAACAAAAGAAACTTCTGAAAAAAATACTTGATACAAATTTTCATCATGTTTGTACTCCTTTTGTGCAAGTCCCTCTGAATTTTGCCCAGGTTAGCATTTGAAATAAAAGGGACAAAAAGACAATACTTGTACTTGCTTCATCCCACTCATCACCCACAAGATCTATGAGAGTTGTTTTTGTGTTTTGTCACCTTTGTAGCTAAAGCAATGAAGGAATATTTTAAAATTCCATATCAAATGTCACGGGATAAAAGGTTCATGGGCTTAGAGTGAGAAGGTAAAGTAGAGATTATCCAATCTGATGCTCTCATTTTATAGATATAGAAAGTGAGGCACAGGCAGGTTAAGCGACTTCCTCAAAGATCATTTAGCTAATAATAATAACAATAATAACAGCTGACATTTACATAGCACTTTAAGATTTGCAAAGTGCTTTACAAATATCTTGTTTGATCTCCACTACAACCCTGGGAGGTAGGTGCTATTATTATTTCCATTTTACAAATGAGGAAACTGAAGCTTACAGAGGTTAAGTGACTCACTCAGGATTGTACAGCTAGTTAAGTATATGAGGCAAGAGTTTTACTTAGGTCTTCCTGACTCTAGGGCTAGTGCTCTCTATCTGCTATGCCACTTACTTGTTGCCTAGAAAGTACAAAGTGGCAAAGCTGGTATTTGACGCTTTTTTTTTTTTTGCTAAGTCCATCTTCAAGTACAGCTTGGATGACATCTTGCTGGGTATGTTCTAGTGGGTATGGAGTGGAATAGATAGATGCTGAGGTCTCTTTCAATTCTCAAAATTCTATGAGTCTGTGACTAGCCTCCCTTTGAGAGCAATATCAGACTTAACGTTTACATAGCGCTTGAATTTTCTTTTTCGATTCCACAAATAGTCAGCATGGTCTCTGAATGTCGCATTGTGTTGGGTGCTGTGGAGAATTTTTAAAAAAGGAGGATGAGTCATGGTATTCACTGGTCTGAAGGCTAGTGGACCAGCTAGTCTTGATTGTGCCAGGGGAGTGACCACAGGCAACCAAGCATTTAATCTTCCCAGGCTTCTTTCCTAATTAATAAAATGGAAGGACTGGATGGAATGGTCTCTAAAATTTTATAATTCCATCATCCCTACTATCAAAAAGAAATTCCAGTTTGGTCTGAGGGTATTTGAGGTGGGATGTTGGGATGGGTTTGGGAAAAGGGGATGGTAGAGGAGAAAGTAGGACAGGAAAGAAAACAGGGAATCCAGGACGGAACATAAAACAAATCAATTCATCCATAATTAGAGGCACTTCACTTGCAAGAAATGTGAATCATTACTGGTTTAAAGCCATTTTTGACTAGTTACAAAACAGGTTATTCAAATAAATATACTTTATTTTAATGGGTTAAACTGATTGTACCACTTAAGCCATAAAACTAATATAAATATTTGGGATTACTAAAGAATTTAGCACTCTCCAGCAATCCGAGGATTCTACATTTCTAATTTTATGTTTGCCTAAACAATCACTTCCCTAAATTGTCACAGAACAAAATTATGTTATTGGGTTATAAATTAGATCATTAAGAAGGTGTAAGTAAAGAGTGACAAGCTTAGTAAATAGCAAGGTTTTTTTGTAAAGTTTTTAAACTTTTGTAAAGTTTGTAAACAGGGTCATTTTATGACCCTTATTTATGGATAAGTAATCCAGATTTTGTAGATATAGGGAATAATGCATTGTTATCTATTTAAACAGCCAGCTGCTATTAGTGATTGAAGTCCAATGAGATGATACACAGATTATAATAGATGCTTAACATTCATTTCATCATAATAATTGCCTCTGATATAGTAGCTATTGTTATTATTATTATTATTATTGATTAGATGATCATGTTAGGCTCTATGGGACTTTAAATATGCACTTCTAAAGGTACACATGGAGAACAGTTAATTTAATTCAGTACTTTCAGTACAATTCAATAATATTCTCTCTAGCCCACCACTTTTGATCCCACTAGAATATCAGCAAATGACATGTTAACAATGCAGGAAATATATGACAATGCCTCACACATCTTATGAATTATTTTAAAAGCATCATAAGCAACTGTTGATTCCCTAGAATTATGCTCTATTCAAGGAAACACTGAATTTAAAAGCAAACATCTTATGTAAGATTTTTCTTTCCTCATATAGTGGTTCATTTTGGGCTATGAATAATACATCCTGCTACCATAGCACACACAGATACTGCTATAATTAGATACATTTCTGAGGTCTGCCTATGGTTCATGCATCAAACACTGATCCTTCAGGCAGCTGTGTATAGGTCTATAGGCTTGGGACATTAGAGAAACGAACACAGGCATGCTAACAGTGCCCTCACTCCAGTTACAGATGTAAGTTGACAGTAATTGCTCCAAGGCATACTAATTACAAAGTATTTAGTAGTCAGGATCTAGCATACACCTGCCAGAAGCATGAATAGCAGAGATGTGACATCACTATTCCTCATCCTAAACAGGAGAGCCCAGCTGGAAGCTAAGTTCTAAAGAAACTGGTGACTGGATGAAACCATATGTCTTCCAAGTTCCATTGGAGGCCCATGGAGTTCCCTTCTTCCAGAACACAGCATTACTTGGGCGTTCTCTTTCATTCTGCACTGATTCATCATACACTTTTAAAGGTGAGAACATTTTTTTTTTCTGCCCAGGATTGGAAATACAAACTAGAAACACAAATGTGATTCTTTTATCATCAGCTGTACAACATACCTTATATGCAAAAATTAACTAGGTTCTATAAATGAAGTGTGTGGTTTATCTCTAGAAAATATGAGATTGGATTAAGATGTGCACTGCTCATCCTTCCACTGCAGGTTCATCCTTCTGATCTTGGAACATGGACAAAGAGGAATTCTGGATGTAAATAAACCCTTCAGATGTAAATATCACGAAGGCTAATGAAAGGAGGTAAACAAACAAAACATACTCAAGAACACTTTATGATAACTTAGAGAAAAACTTTCTTTTTAATTCTAAATATTTTACCAAAAAACTTAATTTTTTAAAAAGAAAAATAATTTCGTCCTGTTGATTGTGGTTGCCATTATTGCAAGATTACATTCTCTGATCTAGTGGCAGTTTGGATTTTATAACACTGTTCTGATTACTTTTATTTAAGATTTTTCATCGTTTCTCACTTGGAGAAAAACTAGAAAAGGAGATCCACTGAACTAACTAGTCTACTGCCATTGTGACAGAAGCACATTTGTAGAAACAAAGGCAAATCTATTTTTTTATTGCTTATACCTGCTGTGTTAATCTGCCAATGATTGGATGTATAAATAATTAACTTCTGGCGCACACGCTACCTTATAGGAAAATGAGAATCCCATTTCCCCCACAAATTAGTTATACTACAGTGTGTACACAAAATCTCAGTTTTACTTTTTGTCTTCAAATAAGGAAAAATGCCCCTCCATGAGTTTATAATCATTCTTTTTATTCAGCTAGGAGGTTCAGTGGGTAGAACACTAGACTTGAAATCAACAAGACTCATCTTCCTGAGTTCAAATTTGGCCTCAGACACGTACCAGCTGTGTGACCCTGGGAAAGTTATTTAACCCTGTTTGCCTCAGTGCCTCATCTGTAAAATGAGCTGGAGGAGGAAATGGCAAACCACTCCAGTATCTTAGTCAAGAAAACCCTAAATGGGGTCACGAAGAGTCAGACATGACTGAAATAAGTGAACAACAATTTTTTTTTCAAAGTCCTTTCATTCTTACCAAGTTGATCTATATATTTAGCATATTTATCATAATGAAGGTGGAATTATAAATTTCAAAAAATAAGTCAAGTACTAGAAGGCAACTTTAGCCTCAGGTATGAGCTTTTGTGAGTCATGCATCCTCTGTGGGTGTCAGTTTCCCTATCTAGAATATGATGGCATATTGAGGCATTTCTTCGGGCAATATCAATGGAGAATTTATTTTGTGTGACTGCACATGTTCGTTATTGGTTTTGTTTTTCTTGCTTTCTCAAAAAGGGGAAAAGGAGAAGGAAAGAGGACAAGGGAGAGAAAGAATACAGACCTGAAAATAAAGTAAAATTGAATTTAAAAAAGGAAAATTACGTACTTGGGCTAGTGGATCTCAAAGCTTCCTTTTAACAATAAATCCTATGATCTACGATGGTTCAGATCTTTAGTTTATTACTTATTATGCTGTGTGACATTGGGAAAATTACAACTTTTCTGAACCTTGGTTTCCCCATGTATAAAAAATATTTCCACTACCTACCTTACAAGGTCATAATGAGGGTCAAATACGCTAATGGACATAAAACACTTTGTAATTGTAAAGAGCTACAGAAATGTGATTTATAATTACTGTCTTCTTTTCTATAGTCCTGCCTTAAGAGAGACCTAGGCTTAAAATACCTCAGACAGATAGGTGCCTATTCTATTTTAAATGCTTTCAGAGAATGTCTTGCTTGGTAGTCCATTCAAGGATGAACATCACCCACTATTTGGATATACCTTTGTATAAAACAAAAAAAATCTATTGTGGTTTTAGCCTATTTTTCCCTCTTCCATCTCTTAGACAGATGATAAGGAATTATTGATCTTTAACCTTGTATGTATTTGTACTCAGAATATTTGAGCTTTCTGTTTTCTTCTCAAAGCTAAATAATTTCAATTCTTTTTGTCTCCTGAATCCCATTTTCCAGCTCTGTAACACATGAAGGAAGATAATAAATCTCAGAGTAGGTAGAATAGACTTATCTACTGTCTAATTTTTGAATGCCTATGCTTGGTCATTTTTGTTATTTCATTGATATGGGAAACTCTCTCTACCACTGCATATCAGTAATTACACTGTCATTTATAGTGCTAGTTACTATGTCTAAGACAGTTCCCAGGGACGATCTGAGAAGTCATATGATGCCCATCATGAAACTGCTAATATGTGTGAGAGTGATGGACTTGAACACAGACATTGCTAACTCTGGGCCGCTAGGTGGCGCCATAGTGCACAGAGCACCAGGCCTGAAGTCAGGAAGACTCATCTTCCTGAGTTCAAATACGTCCTCACACACTTCCTAGCTGTGTGACCCTGGGCAAGTCACTTAACCCTGTTTGCTTCAGTTTCATCATCTATCAAATGAGCTAGAGAAGGAAATGGCAAACCACTCCAGTATCTTTGCCAAGAAAACTCCAAATGTAATTATAAAGAGTCAGACAGACCTGAAACAACTGAATTACAACAACATTGCTAGCTCTGAGGACAGCTAGCTTACCTCCTATATTATACTGCCTGTCTTAGGTTATTTTGGTACCTAATCATTTAAGATCCTAGAAAGGCAGGATCCACAGTGCTGCGCATGCAAGAGTCTTCATGCAGTAACTGCTCTTTTGAAGAAAGTTCCCAAGGGCAAGTTGCTACATGTGGCCTATAACATAGATATTTTAGACAGTGCCTAGAATATGTGACTTCTTGTTCAATTATAGTTCAGTTCTTCCAGGCATTCTAAGCAAGGTGCATTACTTGGAGAGGGTATTCAGAGGTTGATAGACTTAGAAATGAAAGGGACCTTAGTGGTCATCTTGTCTAATTATTATAATAATAATAAACTGGCTGTTTCCAGTTTCCATTTAAATATTATCTTAAGAGGATGCTTTCACTTAACAAGGATGTTAAATGACTTGCCTAAGGTCACACTAAGCACCAGAGGCTTGCAGGATTTGAAAACAAATCTTTTTGACTCCAGCCAGAGCCAGAGTTTTACCTCTGTAACATGAGGTAGTGAGCTCCTACTCACTACCTCTTATCTTCTTTTTTTCCCCTTCTAGACCACAGGATATAAAACTTAAACCTCATAAATAATTTAACCCAAACCTCTAGTTTTTACAATTTAGGAAACTGAGGCCTATAAAGGTTAAATGATTTGCACAAGGTCATGTTGTTGTTGTTGTTGTTCAGTCATTTCAGACTCTTTAGAACCCTATTTTGGATTTTCTTGTCAAAGATACTGGAGTGGTTTGCCATTTTTTCCTCCAGTTCATTTTATAGATAAGGAACTGAAGCAAACAGGGTTAAGTGACTTTCCCAAGGTCACAAGCTAGTAAGTGTCTGAGACCAGATTTGAACTAAGGAAGATGAATTTTCCTGACTTCAGTCCTGGTTCTCTATCTACTGTACCACCTAGCTGCCCACACAAGGTCATCTCATCAATTAAAGAAAGAGTTAGTCTTAGAACTCAGGTCCCTTAATTTCTGCCTTCCTCCTGATTTAATTCTTGAAACAAGGACAAAATGAGTTTGAAGTTCCTAGGAACCAGACACCAAATGTTCTGGCAATGGTCAGTAATAGGACACTACCCTAACACACAATATGCTCGTAAGGAAAGTCCCATACACAGGTTATGGGAAACCAAGAGTGTGCTAGAGAATATTCTTGACTGCCTTAGCTCCTTAGCTACATTTTCTCCCTTAGGGGAAAACAGTCTGTTGTCTAATACAATAATTGGGTCAAAGGGTAAGAATTTATTATTTCCATTTATTTTCCCCTTAATGTGGACTGTTCCTGTCTTTGAACAATGAATCAATACAATTTAATTCCATTCAAAAAAGTGTTTTTGAGTATGTGTGGCCCATCCTCCTGGTCATGATCATCTTCTCTTTTGAGAAGGAAGTGGTTACAGAAAGCACTTCTTACTACCTGTGGATTTACACCTTCAGAACTCATGAGGTCACCATCAAAGCTAGAAGCATCCACCTGGAGATTGCTGTATAGTCATCTGTCTTCAGGGAAAAAAATACAGAGCAGAATAGACAATCAGACACTTGAGGTACATTCTCAAGCTTACCTAGGAAAACACATGTACTTATGGCCACATGGGTATAACCATCAGAGTTACTGGAAGCGGGAGATGGGACAAATTCCCTTAAACCTCTGATAAAGAAGTCCAAGAATAAGTGTCAGTATCCTAAGACACATGTTCAAGAAAGAGGAAAGAGGGAGTATGGATATTAACTCACCTTGTACAGCCTACTGACTAAGAGATTCCTCCTGTGTACTCATTAATCATCTTCAAAACACCCCCCAGTGATGGGGACCATGGGGACTTACAGGAGCTTCTGGTCATGCATGCTCTTTAGCTAAGGCCTGAGCATGGGACTGCTAGAAGAAGCCAAGGCATAGAATCTGCTCATTGGGAAGTATCCCAGTCCAACAGATAGGTGAACAAGGCTCATCTGATGACCCCCATTACATGATATGATTAATGCTGATTATGATAAAATTCCTTTGTCATTCCTATCAATCAACAAACAATTAGATATTTGTTGAGTGTGCTGAAGTGTGACTGTCAAAGATATTTTTTAAAAAGAGGTTTTTGATCTCAAGAAGTTTATATTCTATACGAGGAGAAAGGATATGAGCAAAGTGACTGTAAAGTGATTCCACTAGATTAATTTCACTTGATTATTTTATTTCATACTTTACCAAATATACCAGAATTTATGCATTCACATTAATGCCTGCAAATTATTCACCATGAAAGATTATATACTTGTTTCAACAATTTTTGGAGCTCCCCTGAAAAAGTCTCCAATATATTCTTTTGAATATTTTCATGGGTAGATCACCTTTGCCTTTTGAGAGTGGATTTGATTTTTATAAACAGCCAAATTCAATTTGAGCTAGCAATCTGGATAACATCATTTTTTGAAAGAAAAAATCAGGAGTGACTAGCAAGTAATCTGACTGGTGTTTCTTGTTCTGTTCATCAACTGGCTCACAGACAATTTGAAATGAAGCAGTCAAGACATATTTTGATGGCAGAATCATTAGAATAAGAGCATCATCTATTAAGGTGACTTTGAAAAAAAGGGCTCATTTGTCTATACCTACACTCACTATTTTTTGTATCATAATTTCATAGTAATATCTAGTGCATAAGAAAATAACTAATAATACAAAATATTCCATAAATGCTAAAATAGCAATTATGTAGCACAGACCATAAATATAATACGAATTCAGAAGACTCAATGATGGTTAGCTGAAGTGATCGGGGATGACTACACATTGGAGGCAGGATTTCAGTTGGCCTTAGAAGGGCAAGTAAGATTCAGATAAGTAGGAAAGAATCCCAGAAACATGGTTTCACTTCTCCTGAGAAACCATAAACAACATACTCATTACCTTACTTATTCTCAGAATGTATTTTCAAAAAAGGAAACCAGTTCTTTCTGAGTACCATAGGGATCTAATAATGGCTCCTTCTACCTTCTTACTTTTTGCTTTCAAGGATTCCTCCCTAAGTACTTTGTATTTAACTTAATATACTTCTTTATCTTCCATATATTTATCTATGTATATAGTATATCCTCTGATAGGATGTAAGCTCTTTGAGGGCAAGAATGATTTCATTTTTGCCTTTGTATCCCTAGTGTTTAGCATAGTGCCTGGAACATTGTAGGTGCTTAATAAATGTTTGTTGATGTGAATGATTGACTGATAAATACTCATCCACTCTCAGTCTCTTGGGGAGTAGATGCTTCAATGAGTAGACAACCAGCACTATTGATCTTTCACAAGCTGGTTCGCATGTTAGTCAATTACTGGCAATTGGAGGGGTGACGGAAGCAAGTCGGAGACTACGGCTTAAGACAACATGGCTTTGTGGCCTGTAACCCCCAATTCAATAAATATAAGTGTTATTAAATACTCCCTGAGGTAGTAACATACACTGGGACCCAGCACAAGATAACTATCTAGAGTTTATGATGCTGTCCGAGCAACAGAAGAATATGGATGGTGGACTTGCAACCATAGCAGCAGGGAGCTCTGCTTTCTAGGGAAAAGTTCAGTCTGCTGAGCCCTAGAACCATCAGAGCAACTATGACTAACTTGCTTGGGGCTCTTGGAACTGCCTCAGGGAAGAGAATTCATGGAAATGAGCTATCGCGCTTATAATTTGCATACTGTAGTGTTTATCTCATTCACTCACCTTCTGGGGAGCCTTTACAACATGGGTGCTAAAGCAGTTTCTACACCCAAGCTCAGAGCTGTGCACCTAGATTTCCATCCTAGAGAATCCAATACATTGTAGAACAATACTTCATCCACAGAGTAGTGGTAGTAAGGGCTCTTTTCTCAGAGTTCTATAGAATTCTTTGGTGAGAATTTATATTTAATAATGATATTGAAAATGATAATGATGAAGGTGATGATAATGATGGTGTTGATGATAACGATGATGGCCAATAATGATGATGATGATGATGATGATACAATATGATTCTTTATATCTTCCCTTTTCTGGGTTAAGCTTCTCTAGTTTCTTCAACCCATCCTTGATGTTAAATCTCCTCACCATCCTGGTTATTGCCTTTTGGATACAAACAAGTTTGCCGGTGACCTTTCTAAAATGTGACACCCATCACTGAAACTAAGACTATACATGTGATTTTACCAGAGGAGAATAGAGCAGTACTGTTAATTCCTGTAGCCTGGACATTTAATTTCTCTTACTATAGCGTAAGATTACAACAGTGGTCTTTCTCCCCTAGCAGCCACGTCTGTCATCTGTTAACTCTCAGTAAGCTTGCAGTTCATTGAAATCTCTAGATCTTTTTCATAAAAACCAATGACTGGCTACATTTCCCCATCTTACACTTGTGTAATTGACTTTTTTAATTCAAGTGCAGTCATCCTATTCTTGTTCAATTGATTTTTTTTCTTAACTCAAATATAAGACTTAATAAATTTGGTCCACTGTTCTAGTCTGTCTTTCTTCACACTGAAATCTGTCATACAACACCAGGGTGTTTCTTTCCAGATGTATGTAATGTGAAAAATTGATAGATATGCCATCCATTGCCAAGTCATTGATGAAAATATTGAATAACATAGATCAAGGAAAGAGCCCTGGGGCACTCCATTATCCACCTCATTTAATACAGGAATTCTTTAGGTCTAGTCATCCATTCATTTTTACCACAACTCATTAAGGCAACATCTAAGCGAGGTGGGGAACCTGCGGCCTCGAGGCCACATGTGGCCCTTAGGTCCTTAAGTGTGGTGCTTTGTCAATCAGGTCTAGAGGCCACAAGTTCCACACCCCTGCATGGAAAGATATCAATCTGTACTAATGTGGGGAGTACCTTCCATGGCAAAATATCAGGTCTTTTGAATCCCCAAATGTCAGAATTAAAAAATACATCAGAAATTATCTAGTCCAACTTTTTTCTAAACAGAAATACTCTCTATAATATCTTGGCAAGTGGCCACCTAGCTTCCACCTAAAGACTTTTAGTGATGGTGAACTTGCTACATCCTAAAGCAACCTATTCCATTTTTCTAGCTAGGAAGTCTTTCCTTATATAGAGCCTAAATCTCTTTATCTCTATCAAAGGGTATCTTGTGGCAGAGAAATTTTGCGCTCTTTTTAGCCTACTTTTAGTCTCTGAGGCTAAAAAGAGCACAAAATTTCTCTGCCACAAGAGACCCTTTGAAATATTTGAACCCAGCTCTCAGGCTCCCTGCAATCTTTCTCTAGCCTAAATAGAACCACTTCCTTCAAAGGCATGGTCTCTACCCAGGTCACCCTTTTCCAGACACTCTGCTGTTGGTCAAGTGCCTTCCTAATATTTTTTGCTCAAAGATAAACATAGCATTCCATATATGGTCTGAAATACTAAGTTCATTTAGTTACAAAGACCTTTATGTCCATTATCAAATTTGATCCTTACGAAGTTCTTTAAGGTAGTCAGGGCAAATGCAGATGAGGAATATGAGAATAAAAGAGATTAAATGACAAACCTCAAGTCACGAACATTAAGTGTCAGAGTTGGAATTTAAGCTTGGATATTTGAACTAACCATAGTATAGTCTATAGAGAACTGGATGAAGAGTCAGGAAGACCTAGGTTCCAGTCCCACCTCTGACACAGAAAGGCAAGTTATTTAACGCCTCTGATTCTCAGACTCTTCAGCTGTAAAACGGGAGGTTGGGCTAGATACCCTGTATGGTCCCTTTCAGCTCTGTCTGTGATCCTATGACTATCAGTTCAGTGGTTTTCAGGCTGTATCTCATCAAAGTGTAGTGTGCATTCAAAGAAAGGATTCAAGCCAAGAGTATTCAAATAAGCCTTTTCCAATTGCCTCTTCCCTATACAAATGCTGCCATTATGCATGCATTTTAACACATTTTTCCTTATTTTCTATACTTACCATTGGAAAGTTATTGCCTAAGAAACTGGCATTTGAAAATTAATCCACTGTTAGATTATTGTCCCAGACTTTATTCCTAAAACAGGTCAATTAGGGTTGAAAGATATATCTCTTACCTTAGGAACAATATAGAATTTAAAAGATGGAGCTTGGTTAGCCTAGTTTTGAAATTCTCCTCTTCAGGCAGCTTATAGGACCATAGATTTAGAGCCAGGAGACTTAAGTCATCTAATTCAACTACATTATTTTTCAGATAAGGAAACTAAGGTCTAGAGAGGTTAAATGACTTGCCCAGGGTCACACAAATATTAAGTGCCAGAGACAGGATTCAAACCAGGTCAAACCTAGAGTTAGCTAGATGGATCGGTAGGTAGAATCCTCAGATACCTCAGTTTCCTCAACCATAAAATTGGGTTAATAATAGTACCTACCCTCCAGGGTTGTTGTGAAGATCAAATGAGATAATATTTGTAAGTATTTAACATAGTTCCTGGCACGTACTAAGAATTTAATAAACACTTCCTTCCATCCCTCCCTTCCTTTTCTTTCTTTATTCCCCTTTCTTTCTTTCCCTCACTCCCTCCCATCCTTCCTTCTCTTCTTCTTTCCTATCTTCTTCCTTCTCTCCTTCCCTCTTCTTCCTTCCTTCCTTTCTCTGATTCCAATGCCAGCACTTTTTCCTTCATACCATTCTACTTTGCAGTTCTCTTCCTTGACCTTTCCAATGTCCTTATCACTGCACAAATCTAGTTTTTGTCTTATCATAAGCTTCATTCCATTGACATCTTCTCTAGCAATCAATCAATCAACATTTATTAAGTGTCTACTATGTGCCAAATGCTGTACTAAGTTCTGGGCACAGTTGTTCCAATCTACCCACCTTGTTTTATTCTTACTTTCTCCCCTCACAGAAAGAAGAATGCACACAGAGTACATTTAATATGAACTAGAATATAATTCTATGAACAGTATAAGATGCTGTGACAGTGGAAAAATGCTGGATTTAGAATCAGTGAATGTGGGTTTAAATTCCAACTCTTCTATTTATTCCTGGCACTAAGTAGGGCGAGTTATTTAACTTTTCTCCAGGGGTATGCTAGAAGAAGCTTGCACTGTCTCAAGAGAGCCTTTTGTTAAATTTTCCAGTGAGCAGTTACCCATCAGAAATCCACAAGTGCTACAAATCAGGGCTTGATTTGTTTTGTTGATTTTTTTCACTTAAGAAAGTGATAGAGAAAATGCTAATAAGCAGATTAAATTTAAAAGTATGTCATGGGTACATTTTTTTCCCTTAGAGCTGGTTGTTAAACATTAACCAGAACTTCTCTGTCAGAACCATACTCTTCTCATTTGTAAAATGGAGAAGACAACCTCTAAGGTCCCTTACGTTCACCATCTCATGGCCAACTATTTTTTCCTTGGTTTTGTAATACCTGGCTCCTTTGACCATCTAGTGTTTCATTCATTTATTCAACAAACATTATTAAGTTCCTACTATGTGCTAGTTGTGGAGGATAAATAACAAATATGAAATAGCGGTTGACCTCAAGGAATTTGGAGTCTATGAAGAAGAAACAACATATATACAGATAGATACGTAGAAGATATATGCCAAGTAAATAAATAAGTATGGTGTGGTGGTGGGGGGGGAGTGTAGTTGAGAGAGAAGGCACTAGCACCTGGAGGATCAGAATATGCCTTATGTAGGATGTAACTCTTGACCTTAATTTTAACAGAAATTCAGGATTCTAAGGGGCCCAAGTGAGAAGGAGCACATCCAAGGCATTGGGACAGCCTGTGTGTAGACACAGAAAAGGGATTCAGATGCCATGTATAGAGGGGCAACAGCAAGTGGACCAGCTTACTTGGAATATGGAAAGCCTGAAAAGGAATCACATGCAATAAGGCTGGAGAGGTAAGCTGGAGCTACATTGTACAGGACTTTAAGTGGCCAAACAAGAGGCAGTAGAGAGCCACTGGAGCTTTTAAAGCAGGGTAGTAAGGAATATGGTCAGACCTGTGCTTTAGGAATATCAATTTGGAAACTGTATGGAAGATGCATTGGAGAGGGGGAGAGACTAGAACTAGGAACTAGGGAGACCACTTAGGAGGCCCTAATAGCAGCCCTAAAACCTGGGGGGAATGGGGAAAAATTCCTCCCACATCCTAATTCTTTCTAGTGAACCCTCAAACCTTAGTACCCCCACCCTCTGACTTCTCCTCCCTGCTGCAGCTAAATGAACACTGCTCTATGGAATAAATGGTGTTGGCTCTTCCTGCTCTCTCCCTCACATCCCACCAGTTATCAAACCCTAGTGAGTTTATCTTGGCAATCATCTTTCTAAATCCATCCCCTCTGTTCTACTCCCTTGACAAACACCCCAGCTCAGGGTCTTATCACCTCTTGTTAGACTACTGTTATTGCATATTTTCATTTCCAGACTATCCTTTCTCCAATCCGTTCTTCATGCTTCTGCCTGAGTAACCATCTTTACTAATTGTCACTCCTCTACTCCCAAACCTGCAGTGGCTCCCTATTGCTCACTAAATAAGGTATAAACTCTGGATAGTGGTCTTTAAGGTCCTCAACAATACAATGCCAAAATACCTTTCTAGCTTTATTTCATATTACTCCTTTCAGGTATCCAACATTCTAACCAGATTTGACTGCTTTGCATCACTTATTCTCTCTTGGAAGATGACTCTCTTCTGCCTTTGCTCTTGCTATTTTTCCATATCAAAATTGAATGCCTCTCCTGTCTCTCATGTATATCTACCGAATTCTCTACTTTCCTTGATGGACCATCCTCAATGAAGCCATCCCTCATCTCCACCCATCCCTAATGCCTAAAGTGATCTTTCCCTCCTCAGACTTCTTACAGAACTTAGCCTATATCTCTTCTTGTTATTTCTTATTTCCTGACAATTTGTTCACATGTGATTTATACTCTGCCCAATTGTAAGCCCTTTGACAGCAAGGCCTGGGTCTCACCTATTTTTCTATCCCTGATGCCTGACACAGTGTTGGCATTTAATAAATACTAAATATATTAAATTTCCTTCTTTTTGAATGTCTGAAATAAGTGAGGTATCATTAATATCTCTATTCTATAAAGGAGGAAATTGAGGTTTAGAGATGTTAACTGACTTGTCTAGG